ATATATATATATATATATATATAGATCTTGTATATTAGTAATATGTAGTAATCTTCCAATATATATAATATATTTTATACGTATAGGACAGAATACCGTAGTTTCTCCAAAGTTTACTATAGTGATAAAGAGGGTAAAAAAGGTGAAATGTAAAAAAAGCTTAGAAAATTTTGTACTCTATTGAAATAAAAATATTTAGAAATGCGCAAAATTTGTAACTTTAGCAACTTAGAGTCAGTTGAGTGTGATTTCAGAATCCTTACTACTTTTAACTTGTAAACATTTAACTGACGGCAGACTTTTTAAATAGCTCAGTTCATATTAATATACTCTGATTTAATAAATATTAATATACCCTGATTTTCCCTTGTCCGCCACTGTGAGCTTTTTTCTGGATGATTTTTTATCTTTCTTTCTGTCTCGGCTACTGTGGTTTTTCTAGTTTTGTTTCTCACCTTTATTTTTCATTTTTTGTTGGTAACTCCACGTTTCATATTTCAAAGCACTTTTGTTCCTTCACATTCATGCTTGGTAAGTCTTGAAAATGGGCGCCTATTTTTTATTCTGTTGTTTACAATTTGTATATTTTAGAAGCGAATGAAGTTTTTAATTAAGTAATGAACCAGTTCATAATTGGCAAATACTTTTCAGACAATTTTTTTAAAAAATATTTAAAATAATTCTGTCAGAAAAAAATTGCATTAGTTCACCCTAAACAATTTGACAAACTATTTATTTACCTTTCAATTTTCTGAAATTAAAAGATTATTCCTACTTTCAAATGAATTTTTAAATTAATGAAGTTACAATAAAAAATACAATAAGCACAATACTGTTATTTATTTTCCATAACAAATAAAAGTTTTTTATTGTATCAATTTGATTAATAAATCATTTATTTTAATAAAAATGAGAGGAGATGTGAATAAATCAACTACATGGAGTTTAACAGAATTAAACTTTTTTTCAACTCTTTAATGCTACAAAAGTAATTTAATAATTTGGAGCGAGGATCTCTTGCTGTGCATCACAAAACTCTTCCAATATAAAATTTATCATAAAAGACAAAAAATGAAAACTTGTAAAAACTATGAATATTAATCAATTAGGTATTCAATGACAAGGTAGGAACAAAAAAATGCAAAATGTCTCTCATTGTCAAAGTGGGGTAACTAAATATTTTTAATTTTTGCTTAATTGTATGACATTTAGTTGCAACTGAATACTTGCAAAAAAATGTTTTTACACATAAAAATCTTGTTAATTAAAATCATTTACAATGAGATACTTTAATTTTACAATGAACAATCCACATATAATGCTAATATGAATTATACATGTTATGCAAAAAAAACTATGTATGTGTATTATTGTAAGCAAATTTCTTATAAAATTTTACAACAATATAGCACACGTTGTCAATATGATATGAAATATAGTTTATCAAGTAATATCTGAATTATTAAACAATTCCTACTCAACTATAAACCAATCATTTTTCAAAGGCAATACAACTATTTTTTAATAGATCTTATGTAAATCCCTTTTAACATGAACATTAACAACGTACTATGTAATAAATACATTTTAAATGTATCTAATTAAGCACTGGAGCATTGTCATTTTTAACAAATAAATAAATAATGCTTTGTTCCTCATTTCCCCATTTTACTACATAATTTGAACCAGTTTGATACAGAACTTCTATTTTTTAAATTTGTTATATATATAGATATAATAATTGTTACTCTGTAATATATCTGCTACCATAAGACCATAATAGCAATGATAGATGACTTATTAGAAAATGATTAGATAAAATTATGTATATCTAGATCACATACGGAGGGGGTATTGAAATTAAATTGATTAGTGCTCAAACTTCCATAAGTAACAAAAATAAGGCACTCCAAGATGCAAAACTTTCCATAAAAAAAATTTATCAAATAATCAAAATACTTATTAACATATTTATTTACAATTCTATTCAACCTTTTAAGTTCACTATTTGCTGGTGTTGTAATCCTTAAGGGTCCATGAATATTTCAAGTTTACATCCCATTAGATATTTATAATTGATTATAATATAATTATAACCATATATAACTAAATTAATTTTAAAAATGACTACAATAAGCGCGATAAAAATAGTAAAATGATTTTGCACAACATTGGACTCAGTAAGTAAAAGTGCCATGAGCTGCTTGTATGGCACTATAGTGTTCCATTAAGGGTTAATACATCCTAAAATTCCAGCTAGCAGTTTCTTTCACTTATTTCGTTACATATTTTTGCTAAAAAACGAAAAATTCATGAAATTGTTTTAAATACACAAAAGAATGATTACAACTTACTTGGTGCTGTTTACGTATCCTAATTAAAGATGCAGCGCCCATTGTCATTGCACTTAAAAATGAACAATGCATAAGGTTGGCAGCTCGTATCTAAACACAATAAAAACATTGAGCATTATTTAATATACTAAATTAATAGTTAACAAGATATACATCACAGTAAACAAGAACAAATATTACAACGCATTCCATATTAAGTAAAGCAACCACACTTAAAATGAATGATTCCTTTTTTGGGCAGCAGCAAAAACTCTGTTTGCTTAGATGAGAAGAATGACAGTGGCTTTTTCAAAGAGTGGGAGTATTTATTTTTAATGTCCCCTAAACTAAAGTCTTAATTTTTAGAGTCTAAAATTGAAATAAAGTTAAAAGCACATTTCTAAAAAGTAATTAAATATTAAGGAGAATTTTGGATGAATACAAAAATCTGCTCAACATTTCATTTCATCAAATTTCAGAAGTAAAGATAGTAAGTACAAGAAAGTTATAATAGTTAAAAAAAAACTACCAAAAAGATGTGCAAAATTATTAATTACAGTTTTTATACTAAAAAAAACTGGTAAAAAATAGGGAAAAATGTTCAAAATAGGGACTCTTTTTTTATGTTAAAATGATTCACTTTCCAGTACAAAATAAAATCTACATTCGTACAAAAAAAAGAAGAAAGAAAGCACATACACTTGGCTAAACACATGAAAAATAGTAAAAAAAATTGAAAATTCTTTTCCTTGCAAAAGAATTTTTGATTTTTCATAAATTCTGACTCAGAAATATCCTAGTGAGAATACTACAACTTTCACTAATAATTTGAGAGAATACTTCAACTTCCACTAATAATTGCAGGATCAGTATAAATATCCTGGCGTCCTATCGCTCATGGCATTCGAGATTTTGATCATCACGAAGTTGTGACCTCCGCGTGTCGGAGTATTTAATATTTTTCACCCATTGATGCCATGAATTTTTCCTCCATTTTTTAAAAATTTTCACTGACTGGCCTTTTTTTCATCAAATACTACAAAAGCTAAACTTCAATATGCATTTATATAAACTTTTACAGGCCTGAATTAACTTCATTGATTTTTTATCAAATCGTGTGCGATGAGCAATCTCTAAAATATTTTTAGCATTATCTTTGATTTTTTGGAAGTCCTTCGTCATGGAGAATTGAGAGAATCCCGAGATGTACTTCAACCGACGTTTCTCTTTCCGATGACGCCCGCGATTCTGTGGTAATCCAGTTATCATAAACCTAAATGTTGGATAAAATGATGTTAAAAGATTGAGGATACTGATCGCCAACTTGCAGTCGTTGATATCAATTAACTTTCCTTGCCTGAATTTCCTGCCCTTCAATGCATGACGATGTATCGGATACTGTCCTTGCTTTAGAAGAAATAAAATAAAAAGAACTTTTTGGTTTTTAAAAATGACTGTTTCGTTGATGTCTTTTTCAAAGATAATAGATATGATTTCTGTTTCGTAACTTTATCTAGTCTCCAGGTATGTTCTGTTTTCATCCCTGTCTCTTTTAGATTTTTCTGTTTTGTACTGGGGTGTAAATTGCGGCACAATGCTTAGTGCAAATCTATACAGTTTTGATCGGCCATATTCTTATTTAAAACCCATTAATTACTAATTTATTATTTGGTACCCAGCATTACCGGTACAATCCTATAAGAGTAATTTTTTTATCTCTCTATATTTAAAAAAATATATAGATTGCCATTTCCAACCAAAAAATTAAAGAAGTCCCTGCTTCTCATTCTCATGATGCAAACATTATCGAATGACAAAATATGAAACTTTTCCAATTTTTAAAATGACGTTTGAGAAACAAGAAAACATTGGAATCACAATACTTTTCAATTAAATAATCTTAGGCATGACTCAAAAGTAATGGTGGTCCATTCGACAAAGAACACTAAAATTTAACTATGACTAATATAAAATAATAATTCATGGTCCCTCTAAATTAGCAATCAGTGTAAAAGGATGATTTTGATTTCATGTTATGATTTGTGTTTGCGTAACAAAATAGCATATTTTATCATATAATTGGTGACATTACACATATTTTATATTGTAATTTTTCATTTAAATTTATTTATTAACTCCTTTTTCTTAAAAATCAAGTAACAGTGAAAATGTGTAAAGACTAGACTAGTAATTTTTTTCAATTGCTGGCCCTTCGGACCAGTGAATTAACATTCTTAATATCTCTCTTTCCCCCCTGCTTTGGTAATTGTTGTTGTCGTATGCCATTAAGACAAAAGGGGTGCGTCTCTTTTTGTTTTCCAGTCGTGCTATCTATGGCTGAGAATTCAACTTCTGCTCCACACATATGCCTCAACCCGTTTTAAAGGGGGACTCATTCATTTATCCATAGATCGTAATTTTTACCTGAACCAGAGAACGATCAATCTCCAATTCAGTTTCCTCAAAGGTAAGATTTGTTATGGGAACATGGAGGACATAGTGACCTGGCATTTTTAACATGCACCACACACCATTTACTACATGGGGAGTCTTTGGTTGGCAGGGATCAAATTTACAGCCTCTTGAACATGGGCCAAATGCCCTACCAACCAGGCTATCTCGACCTGCTTTGATAGTATATTAGATAATAAGCACACAAGTTACCAATTAATGACTCATTAATATTCATAGTGCTTTACAATAATGAAAGTTAGTTTTATTAAACAATGAAAACACAAATGACTCTTAGAGAAAGTGATTTTGTGAGAACTCTGTAAATATAATAAGCAAGGTATCTCAAAGCTAATTTTACTTGTTGAATGATTACTTGAAATATGACTTTGTGTAAAGACCAATATAATTTTAAAATAAATATTTAAAAATAATTTTGAAAATAAATAAGAAAATATTAATTACTTAAAAAAAAAAAATAAACATACACAACTAGATTTAAAAAAAATAAAGAAAATTTAAAAAAAGAATATAAATTATGAAAATGTTATCAAAATGTCATAAAATACAACACACATTAAAACTATGCAATGTTGGAGTACTTAATAACAGTTCATTTATACACAAGAGGTTTTTAAACACTCAGTACAGAATATAGAGCAAATCTATATTTACCTCAGTACATAGCAGATGATCAACATTTCTAAAGTCTATATTGGCTCTACAGAAATCAAACATATGCACCATTTCATGAGCAAGGGCACCATGCACAGCTGATTTTGTTGTTGCAGTATTCTGACATATGACAATCTGATTCAATTCTGCATCATATCCTCCAGTNAAAAAAAAAAAAACTATTTTTCAAGAACTTTTGCTGTAACTGTAACATATAATTATAAATTCATTTTTCTATAATTTATTAAATTTCTGCTATAAATCACATTACAGAAGACATTTAGTGGAAACTATATAATTTAAATCTATAAAGATTTGATAGTTGATCAAATATCATTAATTCTGATTCTGCTTAGATTAGAGAGGTTGGCAAGTTTTTGACACATAGCGGTTTTTACCGTCATGTCAAAAAACCCTTTGTCAAAAACGTCAAAGATTGTCAAAAACCCATAGTTTTGGTAAAACTGTATTTTTATTTAAGTTTAACTGCTTATAGTTTAAAATTAATTCATATTTGGGCAATAAAATTAGAAAAAAAAATGTTAAAAAATATTTAAGAACAGATTCTTGCATTTTCCCAACATGAATATATCAAAACATACTTTTTGAAGTAAAATATTAGAATACTAAAAAATAATTTCAACATTTCCAAGCATCATTTTGTTTGGCATATTACATTACTGAAGAATGTCAAGATTGATTACTTTCATTCTTAAAATCTTGCTATGAGAAACATATGAAACATATGTACACATAAAAAGAAAGCCTCATAACATAAACTTTTCTTATCAATTTTGCTTTCAATATTTTACACAGAAATGAGACATGAAAAAGCCTGGGAAATCCTTTTAGAGTTTCAATATTTCTGTATGAATGTATATCCTTCTATAAGAATACATGTATATAGTTGCAAAATCAATAGCAATCATTTACAACATTCATTATAAAGGCAATTATGTGAAAATAATATATTGTCCGCTATATGCCGTAAATTAAGGAAAACAGTAGGTTTTTGACAGTTTTTACCACTGTCATGACAAAAACCAGTTTTTGACGGCAAAAACCCAACCCTTTAATCAGATGGTATTAATCATGGTTCTACAGCATATCCCATTTTAAGTCTACTGTTTAAGCGAACTTCTCAAATTTCCAAAGTTTTGCGAAAACCAGGGGGTCGACTTATACAACAGAAATAAAGATGGACATTCGTTGATCGCAGGGCTCGAAAAACCACCCGTCCTCGGCGATCAAAAATTCCCTGCGGACAACAAATATCTCGAATCCGACGTCCGCGCGGACGGCCATTTTCCCATTAATATTCGTGATACATTTAAAAATTTTTTTTTATCTTACAAGAGTCTAGCGCCTCACTTCTAAAATGACCCTCTAATCTAGAAATACAGCAACATATTGCGCTTGGTGGAATTGATGTTTTCTCTGTCTGGGAGTACTGCATTGGTTGAAAGAGGCTTTTCAGCAATGAGCTTACAAAAAAACACATTACGTACTGGTCTTAAACAAGAAGCATTAAATGCAATTATGAACATCCACCTAAATGGAAAACCCTTTCAGATTTCTGTGCAGAAACCTCTGTAAATCATTGGCTTGATTGTGGAACTGGCAAACGTCATATTTGTTTCATTTAAAAAACGAAGTACCCTAGGATAAATTGACATTCCAGATAACTTGACATTTGTCATTTAAATTATTTCATAAAAGAAATACTAGGTTGTACTATTAGTAACCTAGAATATGTAATCCTAGTAACTACTAATTCATAGTGCAATTTATATAAATGTTTGTAATAAATAAGAGAAAATTATATTTTTATTTAGTTAGAAGCTACAGGTTAGTTTCAAAGGAGGTTGATTATAATTATATTAGATTATGATTATAACATTGTTGGACAAGCCATCCTCGGGGACGGGTAAAATTTCTGACTTTCTTCGAGCCCTGGTTGATCGCTAAATACCAATTCATTATAAACAATAAGATAGATTAGAATCACTGTATCATTTCACCATTTTTAAAAACTATTTTTAATATGTAATATGAAATTAATTTAGCATTTCCTGTAATGTTTTCCTGTAATTCCATGTAAAGATTTCTTTTAGAAAGATACTTTCAATTACATTTAGGAAAAAAATTAAGAATAAGAAAAGTTAATGTGCTGTTCCTTAGTGTGAGGTTTTAGAAGTTAACACTCTTATGTTCAACAAGCACAATTTATCAATAATTTACAACATTAAATTTAATTTAGAATACAGAAGTTATGCTTAAACGCAAAACTGGCTGGTAAAGAGAAACTTCTGAGCAGGGAAAGGGAAAGTCCCTATTCCATTGCACATGCGTGATACGATAGTTCGTATACATAACCTCAAAAAGCTAAACTCTACACTTTTTAAAAGATTTATAACATTTGACTACACATCTAGTATCATTTGACAAATGACCTACATATGAGCAACACTGATGGTTCCTGTTTTCGTAAGATTTTTTTCTTTTTCCATCAATTAGTCATTCTAAGACCATTACTTGTAGAAATTTTCGAACTTGATTTTTTTCAGTGGCTGACTTATACATTTGACATACCAGGAACTTGCTACCTCATAATAAAAAAAAAGGAGATAGACTTATACCAGAGATGAGATTAGCCAAAAGGCAAAAAAGCT